TTGCTGATAGAATTTCACGTTTCGTAGATGCGCGCATTTCTATTTGTGCAGTAAATTGAAACTCATCCGTGCTCGGATTCCATTCGAGGCCTAAAGTTCTTATAATATCATTCGCGTTTATATTCAAATTTGAATTGGATTCTCGTGACTCTATCGCTATTTCTATTAATGCCTCTTCCGAATTCGAGCACCATTTATGAGCCGTAAATCCGCCTTCTAACAATAGATCGGTTAATTGTCTCTGCAAAATACGTGCATCCTCGATTGTGCTCGCTCCCGCAATAATATCGTCGACGTAGGTGTCAGTTAACAAGGCGTGCGCCGCAAGGGGATAACGCTCGGCTCCCTCTGTGGCCAACTGTCTTAAGCATCGAATCGCTAAATAAGACGCGCATGCCTGCCTATATGTAACAGTGTTTAAACGATACTCCTTTACAGGTTCGTCAAATGAAAATCGCCACAAAATTCGCTGATACTCGCGGTCGTCGGGGTGCACCAACACCTGACGATACATTTTCTGCAAATCGCATGTCAGAGCCACCTTATGGCATCTAAATCGCATAACTATATCGATTAAGTTGTCTTGCAATACAGGTCCGATAAGAAGTGAGTCATTCAACGATACACCCTTGTGGTTCTTAGCGGAAGCATCAAATACGACGCGTAATTTTGTACTGCTACTAGATTCCTTTAGTACTCCGTGGTGCGGCAGATATACTATATTTTCAAGATTAGTAGAAGTATCGTTTACGAGTGACATATGTTTCAGTTCGAGATATTCGTACATGAACTTGATATAACGATCGCGAAATATTTCATTGCCTTTACATTTACGTTCTAATTGATTGAATCTCTTAAGCGCTATCTCCCTGTTATCGCCAATAGGCATACCCTTCGCGCGAAACGGCAATCTCACCACGAATCTACCATCACTCGTTCTAGCAGTAGTTTGTTTAAAGTATTGCTCGCATTTTATTTCATCCGATCTTAGTTCTCGCTCATTATCATTATTGTAATTTTCAAGTTTCCAGAACCTTTCCAGATTTTCGCTCAATGCTTCGCAAGGTTGTAATGAACAAGTCAACACGCACATGGCATTTTGCTTGATAATCGTATCTTGTAACGCTACAGATGGCATTGCGCCCGCTACTATCCATCCGAATTTTGTATTTTGTAAGGTTAATTGATCCTTACCTAACTCAATTTTCCCTACCTCTAATAGATCGAAGAAATATTCCGCTCCAACCAACATATCTATAGGACCGATCTTATGAAATTCTGAATCAGCCAATTTAAGATTGGCCGGTATTTGCAACTTGCTACGATCTATCCTTATGGATGGCAGATGCTTGGTAATCTTTGGCACAATCAAGCATTGCGCGTTAATCTGGAAATCGGAACATCTTGACTTGACAAGAACCTCGCAAGCATTATAAACGGGATTCTCAATTTCGTTTAAACCAGTGACAATTTCTGAGATTCGTTCTCGCCTTAAACCCAGCTTATTATGCGCTACTTGAGTGATAAAGTTTGCCTCGCTCGCGCTATCTAGGAGTACTCGAATCGGAACACGCAAATTGTTACGTTGAGTCACCTCAACTACCGCTGTAGCCATAAGAACTTGACGTCTTTTAACATTGCTTGATATGTGATGAGTCGCTATGCTGCTAATTGATTGAGCGTTGTCAACCTTATCTTGAGATTCCGAATCTTCTGAGCTCGTGGTAGCCTTGTCATCTCGTGATAGATGACACAATGTGTTGTGCTTTCCAGGACATTTTCTGCACGTGCCCATCCTGCATGTTCTTACGTAGTGGTCGTTTTTAAGGCAATTCATGCACAGTTTTAATCGTTTGACCTCCGCGATCCTCTCAGACACAGACAGGGCTAGAAATTTCTCACAAAAGTATATAAAATGTGTTCCATCGCAATAGTAGCACTTACCCAAATTTACAGACGCCGTCAATGAAGTGGTTTTTTGACTGGCAGTACTCTTAAATAACGACTGTGATTTTGCCTGTACGGCAGATCCCTTTCCACGCTGTTCGTTTTCTTTGGGGAATTTTTCATTTTTATCACTCGATCGAGCTTCAATACGTTCCAGAGTTTGACATTTCTTCTTCAAAAATTCTAGCATGTCACTTAACTTTGCTCCCTCGTTCGACTCTACTTCCTCTTCCCAGGCTCGAAGAGTTTTTCCATCGAATTTAGCCTCCAACATGTACATAATAATATCATCCCATGCATCTGTAGGTGAGCCTAAAACTTTCAGCATCCGCAGGTGCCTGGAAGCATAGTCAACCAAATCGCGAAGAGCCTTTGCAGACTCTTTAACCACCGTAGGCATTGAAAATAGACACTGAATATGTTTCTTTTTGAGCGACTTCGGATCGTCGTACCTTTGTTGCAATAACTCCCATGCCGTAGGATAATTTTGTGCTGTTAACTCAATTGACTCGATAATTTTCGCGGCGTCGCCCGAAATGGATGAAGTTAAATATTGAAATTTTTCGATGTTCGATAAATGTGCCTTATCATAAATGATAGAACGAAAACTATCCGAAAAGCACTTCCAGTCTTCGATCTTGCCATCGAATCGTGGAAGCTTAATCGTAGGCAACTTGACTCGAGTCTCTAGGTTAGTTGATCCGGTCGCGTTAGCTACGCGATCAAGAATCTCAGTTTGGCGGGAAAGAATGGCCGCCAACGCTTCGTTTCCTTCTGGCGGTACCATGGCCGCCGAAGCGTTACCTCGAGCGCTGCGCTCTATATGCTGTATCAGCGCGGTTTGCTGTTGCAGCAGTTGCACGATTGCGTCTGTACTTTGCGATTCAGCGCCTATGGTAGGCGTCTGCCTTATGAACCGTTTTAATATGGTTTTTACCTCAAAATACCTTTCATCGAAGATCTCCTCTTCCGCAGAGTCGTCTGCGGTAAACTCTCCTAGCTGCTCTAGTAATTGCCTCTGAATGATCTCGAACTCTCGATGTACTTCTTCCAACTTTTCTAACCTTGCCTCTGCTTGCTCTTGATCGAATTTATCGCCGACCTCGCTATCTGCTTGCGTTGCTTGCGTCCTCAATCTCGTCAATTTCGCCTTTACATAGCCTCGTGTCTTGCGCAAATTAGTGACGATCTCGTCCGACATCCTTGCTCTTGTATCTTGCTAACTTGTCACGAATTATTCTAACCTTGTGCACCGTTATCCGGCTCGAAGGACCATGTTTAGGATGGCAATTAATACAATTAGTACCTCGAGGTTCGAGTTTTATAACATTTAATAATGAAAGGTTTAGGTACAATCTTGTCTCTTGCTCGACGACCGTCTCTTACCGAAAAAAACTGAACTGCCGCAGAAAACGGAAACGAAGGGAAAGCGCCTCTAGCGCCGGTGGCGCGCGCGCACCGCCGTTCTGCATGTATAATAGAGCGCGTCGTTCAAAAATAAGAATATAAATATA